AGATTATTCTCAAGGGTAGACCATATGTTAGGTCACAAAACAAGTCTTGAACATTCAAAAAAACTGAAATCATTCCCAGTATCTTCTCTGGCCACATGGAATAAACCTAGAAATCAATAACAGAGAAACTTTGGAAACTATACAAACACATGGAAATCAAACAGTATGCTTCCAAATGACCAGTGGGTCAATGAAGAAGTAAGGAAATTTTTAAATTTCTTGAAACAAATGAAAATGGAAACAAAGCATACTAAAATCTATGGGATACAGCAAAAGCAGTACTGAAGGAAGTTTATAGCAATAAGGGTCTATATCACAAAAGTAGAACAACTTCAGATAAACAGCCTACTGATGCATCTTAAGGCTAGAAAAGCAAGAGCAAACTAAATCCAAAATTAATAGAAGAAAAGAAATAATAAAGATCAGAGCAGAAATAAATGAAATTGAAATGAAGAAAATGCAAAAGATCAATGAAACAAAAAGTTTTGTGAAAAGATAAAATGGACAAACCTTTGGCCAGATTAAGAGAGAAAGAAGACTCAATTAAATAAAATTGTAGATGAAAAAGGAGACTTATAACTGATACTGCAAAAATTGAAGGATCATTAGAGATTAGTATGAGCAGCTATATGCCAATAAATTGGAAAACATTGAAGAAATGGATGAATTCCTAGACACATGCAGCCTACCAGGACTGATCCAAGAAGAAATCCAAAACCTGAATTGACCAATAACAAGTAACAAGATCGAAGCTGTAATAAAAAGACTCCCAGCAAAGAAAAGCCCAGGACCTGATGGCTTCACTGCTGAATTTTACCAAATATTTAAAGAAGAACTAATACCTGTCCTACTCAAACTGTTCCAAAAAATAGAGGAGGAAAGAGTATTTCCAAATTCATTTTATGAGATCAGTATTACTCTGATAACAAAACCAGACAAAGATACCTCAAAAAAGGAAAACTACAGACCAGTATCTTTAATGCATATTGATGCAAAAATCTTCAATAAAATACTAGCAAACTGAATTCAACAACATATTAAAAAGATAAGTCATCATGTCCAAGTGGGATTTATCCCAGGATGTAATAAGAATGGGTTAGCACCTGTAAATCAATCAAGGTGATACCTTACATCAGCAGAATGAAGGACAAAAACCGTATGATCATTTCAATTGATGCTGAAAAAGCATTTGATAATGTTCAGTATCCCTTTGTGATTAAAAAAAGAACTCTAAAAAAACTGGGTATAGATGGAATATACCTCAACACACTAAAAGTCATGTTATGACAGACCCACAGCTAGTGTCATACCTGAAAGCCTCCTTTAAGATCTGGAAAAAGGCAGGGATGCCCACTTTCACTGCTGTTATTCAGTGTAGTACTGGAAGACCTAGCTAGAGCAATCAGACAAGAGAATCAAATAAAGGGCATCTAAATTGGAAAGGAAGAATTCAGATTATCATCAGATGATATTATTTTATATTTGGAAAAACCTAAAGAAAAGGAAAAACAGAACTGATAAATTCAGTGAAGTTGCAGGATGCAGATCAACATACAAAAATCAGTAGCATTTCTATATGCCAACAGCAAACAAACTGAAGAAAAAATCAGGAAAGTAATCCCATTTATAATAGCCACAAATATAAGGAAATACCTAAGAATAAAAATAATCAAAGAAGTGAAAGATTTCTACAATGAAAACTATAAAATAACGGTATGAGATATCAAAGAGGACAAAATTTGAAAGATATTCCATGTTCATGGAATAGAAGAGTCGGTATTGATAAAATGTCCATACTTCCCAAAGCAGTTTGCCAATTCAATTTAATCCCTATCAAAATACCAATGATATTCTTCACAGAAGTAGAAAAAAAATTCTAAAATTTATATGGAACCCCAAAACACTCAGAATAGCCAAAGCTGTCCTGAGAAAAAAGAAAAAACTGGAGAACTCATAGTACCGGACTTCAAATTATACTACAGAGCTATAGTTACCAAAACTCAAAGTATTAGCATAAAAACAGACACATAGACCGATGTAACAGAATAGAGAAGCCAGAAATAAATCCATACATCTGCAGTGAACTTACTTTTGACAAAAGTGCCAAGAACATACACTGGAGAAAGGACAGTCTCCTTCAATAAATGGTGCTAGGAAAACTGGATTTCCATATGCAGAAGAATGAAACTTGACTTCTATCTCTGGCCATATACAAAAATCAAATCAAAACGGATTAAAGACTTTAAGACCTCAAACTATGAAACTACTAAAAGAAAATATTGGAGAAACTCTCCAAAACATTGGTCTATGCAAAGATTTCTTGAATAATATCCCAAAAGCATAGGCAACCAAAGCAAAAATAGACAAATGAGATCACATCAAGTTAAAAAGTTCCTGCACAGCAAAGGAAACAATCAACAAAGTGAAGAGATGACCCACAGAATGGTAGAAAATATCTGCAAGTTACCCATCTAACAATGGACTAATAACCAGAATATATAAGGAGCTCAGACAACTCAATAGGAAAAAAAATCTAATAATCTGATTTTAAAATGGGCAAAAAATCTGAATAGACATTTCTCAAAAGAAGACATACAAATGGCAAACAAGTTTATGAGAAGGTGCTCAACATCACTGATCATCAGAGAAATGCTAATCAAAACTACAGTGTGATATCATCTCACCCCAGTTATAATGGCTTTTATCCAAAAGACAGGCAATAATGAACGCTGACGAGGATGTGGAGAGAAAGGAACCCTTGCACACTGTTGGTGGGAATGTAAATTAGTACAGCAAGTACAGAGTGCCTCAAAAACCCAAAAATGGAACTATCATATGATCTAGCAGTCCCACTGCTAGATGTATGCCCAAAAGAAAGGAAATCAGTATATCGAAGAGATATCTGCACTCCCATGTTTATTGCAGCACTGTTCACAACAGCCAAAATTTGGAATCAACCTAAGTATCTATCAGCAGATGAATGGATGAAGAAAATCTGGTACATACACACAATGAAGTACTATTCGGCCATAAAAAAGAATGAGATCCTATCATTTGCAACAACCTGGATGGAACTGGAGGATATTATGTTAAGAGAAGCCAGGCACAGAAAGACAAACTTTGTATGTTCTCACTCATTTGTGAGAGCCAAAAACAAAGAATTAAACTTGTGGAGACAGAGAGTAGATTGATGGTTACCAGATGGGAAGGGTAGTATGGAGAGTGGGGGGGAAGTGGGTATGGTTAATGGGCACAAAAGTATAGTTAGAGTGATAGAATGGATAAGATCTAGCATGGATAAGATCTAGCATTTGATAGCATAACAGGGTGACTACAGTCAATAACTTAATGTACATTTAAAAATAAGTAAAAGAGTATAATTGGAATGTTTGTACACAAAGAAATGATAAATGTTTCAGGTGATGGATACTCCATTTACCCTGATGTGATTGTTACACATTGCATACCTGTATCTACATATCTTATGTCCCCATAAATATATACAAGTACTATGTACCCATAAAAATTTTTAAAAAATAAGATTTTTTTAAAGAATAGAAGGAAGAATTCAGTATTGTACTACTAATAAAGGACATCTGACTACCTTGCCTTAACTGTAGTCAACTTGAGTAGAGGTTGAGCCCCCTGATCTGAAAATTTAAAATTCAAAATGACCCAGAATCTAATACATTTTGAGCACTGATGTGATGCTTAAAGGACATGCTCATTGGAGCATTTTTTATTTTGGATTTTCATATTAGGAATGTTTAACCAGTAAGTGTAAGGCATATATCCCAAAATCTGAAAAAATACAAAATCTGAAATACTTTTAGTTCCAAGCACTTTGGAAAAGGGATGCACAACCTGTATTGTGAAAAAATTGATTCATGTTTTCGTAATTTGATGCATTTTTAATAAAGGTTGATTTTGCTACCTCTACTCTCAACAGTTGTTGTTTGCTTAAGGAATGCAAATTAATCTTAACGTCAGCCTGACTAAAGTAATTTTAGGAAGAAAACCTACTGAAAATAAAATACATCATTCTAAAGTAAAGCATGATGTGTTGGTTGACTTGCCCTAAGAACTGAGAATGTCTTAGCCAGCAACCTTAAGATTACTGAAGACTCAGACTAGCACTACTGACAGCAAAGTTGACAGTGTTACAAGAGCCCATAGTAGAGGGATCACATCCGGCCTGCATTATGCAGGATTTATACAGTCATCTGACATGCCTTATGTAGTGTTGGTTCAGTTCTAAAAATGTGTTTATCGTCTACTTTTTGTAAGATAAAATAATAAATACTGTGTGGAATTCACAGACGAATGACAAGTTCTTGGCCCTCAGGAAACTTCAGCCCTGTCTAAATCCCACAGAAGTTAATATTGCAAATGGCCATCTCTAGTGACCACTTTCTTTCCCAGGTGTCTTATGCTAATTGAATTTTCAGATAACAGCTGGGAAGTACAGTTTTTGAAAGACAAAATCAGGATCCATGAAGACTTGGATAGATTGGAATGACAGACTGGGTTTAAGAACATAGACTTTGACAAATCATCGTAAGTATAGGGCTAGGGTAGGGGACTAGAATATTACAGCAATATGTATTTTAAAAGTAAGAGCATGTAAATGAAGTATGAATCAGGTGCAAAAGAGCTATATTGTATTAACTCAAAGGGTTCAAAAGGGGAGGTTCAACTTTTTTCATTTCTGGATAGCACTCTAAAAATGATATAGAAAAGTGGCAGTTTGAGAAGAGAAGGATCTGTATGGTGAAGGGTCTTGAAACTGAGTTACAACTTGGGAGTACTAGCTAGATGATTGCCACCCAGAAATCTCAGGAGGGAGCCTGTTAACCATCTTTAGATATATGGAGAGCTATTATGTGAAAGAGGAATTAATGTGACTTGCTTTTTAATGGCCTCAGAGAAGAGTTAAGGTCAGTGAATATGTTAGAGGTAAGTGTTTCCTAACAGTCATCTGACCAAGGAAGTAGCACGTTCTCCAGTGTGTGATGTTTCTTAGGCTAAGACTAAAAATTACCCACCTCTTGAAATATTTCGGTGGTTGGATGGACTGTTGTTCCTTCCAACTTTGAGATGCCATGATTCTAGTTGTCAAGATTCTTCTTTCTTCATCCCTCCTCCTCTCTGCAACTTAGTCTCTCTGCTTTCTCTTCAAATGCAAAAAAGTAAAAATATACGTATATAATTTACCATCTTTACCATTTTTAAGTGTATCATTCAGTGGTAATAAATACATTTATATTATTTATTTGTCTCCTTCATTATCCCCTTCCAGACTTTGGTTTTCTCTTGACCTATGTCTTTGAAATCCTTTAGGATTTATGCCATATCAGGATCTATAGATTTTTCGATTACTTTCCTGTCCTTAATTACCTGAGGCAATCCAGAATGTTCTTTATCTTCAAATTTTATTTCAGGAATCAGTTTTTCTTGTTCTTTGATGAGCAGTAGTTTTTTTGTTTTGGTTTTGGTTTGGTTTTGAGACGGAGTCTCGCTCTGTCACCCAGGCTGGAGTGCAGTGGCCGGATCTCAGCTCACTGCAAGCTTCGCCTCCCAGGTTTATGCCATTCTCCTGCCTCAGCCTCCCGAATAGCTGGGACTACAGGCGCCCGCCACCTCGCCCGGCTAGTTTTTTGTATTTTTTAGTAGAGACGGGGTTTCACCGTGTTAGCCAGGATGGTCTTGATCTCCTGACCTCGTGATCCGCCCGTCTTGGCCTCCCAAAGTGCTGGGATTACAGGCTTGAGCCACCACGCCTGGCCAGTAATTTGTTTGAAAAGCATAAAGGAACAGAGTCTCAACTGCACTCAGCGAGGACAGTGGGTACAATTAAGGCATATGTGACCTTTAGCAACTAGTATTTTTGAGCTAAAAGATGAAAAGTAGGGCATGAAGACTGTTCTCTTGAGCAGAGGTTGGCAGATTATTTCGGTAAAGAACCAGATAGTAAATATTTTAGTCTTTGAGAACCTCGTAGTCTCTTTCACAGCTACTTAGCTCTGCCAGTTGTAGCATGAAAGCAGCACAGAGGAATGAATATGGCTGAACTCCAGTAAACTGTGTTTATGCAACAGGTGGTTGGCCAGATTTGCCCTTTGGGTTAGAGTTTGCTACAATTTTAGGTTAGGCCCTACAGAGGCTGTTCCCTTTAAATCCGGAGCTCTTCACAGATAGATGATTGCAAGAGTTGCTTATGCCTGAAATAAGATATGACTGCTTAAGACACATGATTTCCTGATTGAAGATGAGCTTTCATCAGTCTGTTTCCTATTTCTATATAACTATAATGCATCACAGTTGATTACAGTATATTTTTAAAATATCTAGGAAGAAGTGGTGAAGTTGACTGAGAAATGCCTTAATAATGTCATTGAGAACCCAGGACTGAATGCCATGAGAGTTTCTCCTGACTTCAAGAGTAACATTTTGAAGGCTCAAGTAGAAGCAGTGCATAAGGTAAGCTGCCTTTGGTAGACAGCCCTGGTGAAGTGAAAAGAGTGTGGAATGTAGAGAGTTGCCTTCCCCAACTCTAAATTCTAATCAAGCTAGTTTAAGGGCGCAGTCAGGGGGTTAAAAAATAAGAGTAAAGATGCTCAGGGGGATATGAAGGCTAAAAAAGCCAAATCTGTATAGAAGTGAGCCTTCAATTTTTGCCAATTTGATAGCCAGAAAGCCTTGTGATTTTTAAAGGCTTATTTCAGTATTAAATCTATGATTCTAGATCTGTCTTTATCCATCCACTATTCCCCACAACCCATCTACCCTCAGTTTGGCAATATGTTTATGTAATTAGCAAAAAGAGTGAGGTACAAGCTGAAGAGTTGGCTGTGACTTGGTGAAGGATGGAGTGAGTAGGGACCAGCTCCCGTGAGGGATGCAGCAGCCTTGCTCTCAAAATCAGCTTTTGCTTGGCTCTCCATGACTTTCAAACTTACATTCTGTCCTAAAACCAGGACAGAAGCCTGCCTCACTAAGTCAGTTGTCAACTAGGATTTCAAATTCACCTGTTATTGAGAAGATGCACTTTACCCATCCTGTCCTCAGGTACAAGCCTTGAAGAGACCTGAGTGGACTTTAGGAATATTGTTCATGTTCTTTATCCATTTTCTCCCCAGAATATAAATATAAAACATCTACATATAAAATAAATACAAAATATAGTAGTATTGACTCTAGAACCTTTTTTCTATTCCACCACTTACTAGCTTTGTGACTTGGGCAAGTTAGTTAATTTCTGTGAACCTCAGTTTAATTTTTTATAAAATAGGATAATGGTAGTACCTACCTTAAGGTGGGTTGTAAAGGTGAAATAAGATAATTAAAGGACATGGAATAGTGCCTGGCACATAATGAGCATTTAGAAAGTGTTGACCTTCGATAGTTATAGTAGTGGTAATAGTAATCGTTATCATTTGCTGTGGTCTGAATGGTTGCATCACCCCTTAAAGTTTTGTATGTTGAAACCTAATCCCCAAAGCCATGGTATTAACACATGGGGCCTTTGGCAGAGCCCCCAAGAGTGGGCTTAGTGCTCTTATAAAAGAGGCTGGAGGGAACTTGTTTAACCCTTCAGTCATGTGAGGATGCAGTGAGAAGGCGCCATCTGTGAGGAATGGACCCTCACCAGACACTAAATCTGCCAGTGCCATAATCTTTGGTTTCTCAGCCCCCTAAACTGCAAGGAATAAATATTTGTTATTTATAGGCCACCCAGATTATGTTGTTTTGTTAGAGCAGCTTGAATGGACTAAGAAATCATTACCTTACATTTCAGTTATCATTTTGGATCTTTCTTAACTTGAAGAAGAGAGAAATAACATGAGTTGCCTAAAGTAAAGGGATTTGATTTTACAGTGAAAAGACCTTCTCATAAGAGAAATCCAGGACCAAATACCTTCACTGTGAAATCTACTAAACATTTATAGAAGAAATATTAGCAGTTCTACACAAAGTTCTTCAAAAAGAGGAAGGAACACTTCCCAGTTCATTTTATGAGACTAGTGTCACCCCAATAGCAAAACCAGAAAAAAAAATGACAAGAAACCACAGACCAGTACTCCTCATGAACATTAACTTAAAAGTTCTTAACAAAATATACTCAACAGTTTATAAGTAGGATCATACATCATGACCAAGTATGGTTTATCTTGGGGAAAATGTTGGTTTATCATTCAAAACCCAAGATAGTTCACCATATTAAAAAATACATAAAATTGTCTCAATTCACATAGAAAAGGCATTTCACAAAATTCAACACCTGTTCATGATAAAAACTCTCAGCAAACTAGCAAGAGAATACAACTCCTTCAGCTTGATAAAGAGCATTTAAGAACAAAATCTACAACATCATAATTAATGATGAAAGGCATGTCCACTGAAATAGCTAAAATTAAACACTGACCATCCCTGTGGTGGTGATGATGGAGCTCCTGCGGTGCACATACGTTGCTGGTAAGAACATAAAATGGTATAAACGCTTTAAAAGAGTTTGGCAATGCATTAAACATAGACATATCATCTAACCCAGCAATTACATTCTTAGATATTTGTCCAAGAGAAATCAAAACTCAGGTTAACACAGATGTTAGTACATGAATGTTCCTAGCAACTTTATACGAAATAGCTAAAAACTGGAAAAAATCCAAATGCTCATCGAAAACAGATAATTGTGATGTATCTATACAATGAAATGTCTCTCTGAATAAAAAGGAATGAATTAGTGACTTATACAACATGAGTGAATCTCAAAGACATCTCCATGCTGCTCTAAAGCAGCAGACGCAAAGGATAGGTACTGTGATTCCAATTATGTGAAACTGTATAAAGTATAGATCATCGTTTACCTCGAATAGGGGTTTTTTTTCATGGGATTATGTGGGAAGCCTCAAGGGAATATTGAGGTGGTGAGTAGGGGAGATAGTGGAAATGCTATGTTGGTTAAACATTTGTATGCCATTAAAAAAAAAATTATTGAACTGTACTTTTTTTAAAAAAAAATGGGTGCATTATTGATGCCAGGTGTGGTGGCTCATGCCTATAATCCCACCACTTTGGGAGACCACGCAGGTGGATCACTTGACATCAGGAGTTCGAGACCAGCCTGACCAACATGGTGAAACCCTGTCTCTACTAAAAGTAAAAAAATTAGCCAGATGTGGTGGTGCACACGTGTAATCCCAGCTACTCAGGAGGCTGAGGCAGGAGAATCACTTGAACCTGGGAGGCAGAGGTTGCAGTGAGCCAAGATTACACCACTGCACTCCAGCCTGGGGGACAGAGTAAGACTCTATCTCTAAAAAAATAAAAAATGGGTGCATTATTGAGAACCATCTAGCAAGATCATATGAATTTGTATACAAAATAAAAAATGAATCTTTGATTATTAATTTAGGTATGGGGTAGGCTTGTACTAGGTGCACTGCCGATATTTCCATAGATAAGGTATGATTACCTCTAATTTTAACTGAAGCAAACTGAAGTTTCTATTTTTACCAGAAAGAAATGTAAATTTCTTGTTACTTTAGTATCCTCAACAAAGATTTACTTTTCTTTAATATTTCATTTTCTTAGGTTACAAAAGAAGATAGCTTATTAAGTCATAAAAATGCCAATGTTCAGGATGCTGCCACAAACAGGTACAGTTCTGGATAGACTGAATTAAATTGATGTTCTTATCTACCTTTGTTGTCTTTTTTTTCTTCTCAGTCTGTCACCACATGGTTTCAGGATGTCTGTCTGAAAGATAGCTTGAATTCACTCTGTTGTATCCGTTACAGACCACTTAGTACCTAGTTGTATATTTGAAGATGTTCCTGATTAGTCTCCCAACGTTCCCATTTATCTTCAACTGATTCAAACCAACAGAGCAGAAACCATCTTAAAGATATGTATAATCTTTTCAGTCACCTGGTAGTGTGTATTATTCTCTTACAGTAAACTTTGGTGTCATCCTGTTATCACAACGGCCTTGTTTTTATCAACTGACTTGCCATGGGTTCTCACAGTAGCTGAGTAACTTTCTTTGCTACTCCCTCCAAGTCTCTTCTGCCCTTCTTCTCTTTAATGAGTATTTTGCCATTTATTTGTCTTGTTAGTTAGGCTTTTATTCCATGCTTTATGGCAATTGATTTTCTTCACCACTGTGAATCT